GCTTCTCCGCCTGCCTCCATTTTCTCTTCTCCTCGCGCTTCGGAGTGGAGGAATCTCTGCTCGTGCGGCTGTTGGCGAATCTCTCGTACTCGTCGCTCTCGTAACACCTTCTCCCGGAAACCACGTCGCTCGGTATTATTCTCCCGGTTCCGTTAACCTGTAATCCCAAAATCCTTGGTATAGGCAACGAAGGAGATTTCTCTTCTACAAATTTGGAACCCTCTGATCGAAATCGAAGCGGGGATTTTTCATTTCGTCCGGATGGAAATTTCGGGAAAGGCTCTCGATCGGTTCGAGCGGAAAGAAGGAGAGAAAGTTGGATTTTATTTCGACGCGATCCGTAAATATTCCCTAATGTCGCGTCGATATTTGTTTCACAGATTTTCCACTGTTTGCCGAGTCGCGGCCAGGGTAAATATTCTCGCGGAATATCGAATCGCGGTGAATTTAGAACGCATACTCGCCTTGTGTTCGTAAATCTCCTTTGTCCTTTTCCCCTCGCAGTCCTCGTACGGCCTCGCCTTCTCTTCCGCCTCCTGCTCGTCCCCGCTGCTTTTCGGCGACCTCACCGACGAGTATAANGGCTCGTTCCCGGTCTCCGTCCGGTCCACGTTGGACGAGTTCTCCGTGCCCACCTCGTCCGGTTTAGGTGGCAAAGGCCTGCCCTTGTTCCGCTTTCGGCGTCTCGGCGGTGGAATCGGTGTCACGTCCTTTAGATTCGAACCTGATCGATTTCCAAGAATCGGTAACGGTAGTAGTCGAAAGTAAAGTTTCCGACATGCCCACCGCGTAATTTTTCTCTCTCTCTCTGTTCTAGTTAGAAAGAGGGATTCGGGAAACGGAGAGCGATGCAAGCGTGTTACACGGGTTATACTATGTTTATCGGGCGGCATGTCGGAACGAGCGTGTTCTCGTTAAGGATACAGGTTGCAATACGAGGTAACGATAAATTGCGAGCTTACAGCTGGACGTTGGGGTGGTGGCCGGATAGAGGTTCGTGTCGACGGTTAAATTGGTGAGCACCGAGGCCGCCCTCGGTGTGCTGGGAACTTCGAGGTTCACGTCGACCCAGTCGCTCGGATGAAAGGGCCTGTCCACGGAATCTATGCTTCTCCCTCTGGTCAGCGCTTCCCTTGGCGGCGAACCAGCGTACCCTATTTCGGAGCTGCAAATACATTCGTAACGATGTAACCGTCTTTGCGGGCCCGTCTCTCCGAAATTTCCGCGTTTCGAAAATTCCCGCCTCGAATTATTTGGCATCGTCGCCTCTATTACACGCTTACTCGCGAATGCATGCCGTGTTTCTTCGCGTCCCCCGGGCTATAACTCTTCCGGGGACGTCGCTGGAATTTCACCCCGTTCTTCTTCTTCTTCTCCTCCTCCTTCCAAACTTTCTTTTAACTCCTTCTCGCGAAAGAGGACGAAAATTCCATCGATTAACGTTTTTCTTCTCCTCCATTCGGATCGAAGATAAAAAGTAAAAATTTTCCCAACGAATTCTTCATATTTCAATTTCCATTTATTCTTCGCGATTGTTATCCCTATTTTTATTCGGGTGTATCTCGTACGAGAAAAAAAATCCCTTTCACTTTTCCTTTTTCACTTTTCCTTTCGTCCATTTAAAGATGCGCAACGAACACGCTTCGTATAGATCCAATCCAATCGTGAATCCTCCTAATAATCGAGCTATCAATTATTATTCTATTTCACTTTTTCGCCCCAAACCTGTTTTCGATAACGATAACTCGGCGAAATTTCGAATAGAATCGGTAAAAGTGTGAAAAGATTAGCAACTCGTTCGTACGTATCGCGCATTATTCCGCGAGCAATCGATATCGGATTTTCCATCGGTTGCCTGTTTCCCGCCATTACTAATGCACTTGACGGGGGACAATCGTAAAACCATTATAACGTGTACCGTTGTCGGCTGCTTTCGACGCCCGTTTCGTTTGGAGTTTTGGACGCCTATATCATCGTTGCCCCGATTTTTCGAATTCTCGCGTCTTCGCTTATTCGCGTAACGAAAAAATATCGCAATTTTTCGAGCAACGTTTCACTCTTTTTGCCATGCTTTATGCCTTTCGCGTGACTTTTTTAATTAAATCGATCGACTCGTAAAACTTGGAATCTCCCGGTTCGATGAATTATAGCGCGATTAATAAGCGGTTCGAAGAAGGAAGAATCCATCTGATGCGCATCCGCCGCTACTGTCGCTACTGTCGCTACTGTCGCTACGGTTACTTTGACAGTTGTGTGACCCGATCCGGTGAATTGGACGAGGACAATGGGAATGATGCATCGGTGATCCGAACACGCCGCTGCATAAATTAGATCCCGTACGAACCCGGCTTAACGGAGTGCATAAATAAAGTAGATGTACGTGTCGTTGGCTGTTGTATTCGATCCACCGAAATAAATCGTGCACGTTAAGTCGAATGGAAATCGACGTTCCAATTATTTTGGGAAAAATAGTGCCGCGGATTTATCGAATTTTGTTTTCGTTCCTCGTTTTAATCTGGATCGTTCTTTTTTTTTTTTTTTTTTTTTTTTTTTTTCATATGTAAAAATGCGAGATAAAAATTAGTAGGACGTCGTTTTTCGTTCCCCGAACAAAAATACGTGTAACGTATAATCTTATTCATCTATTCGACCCAGAACAAACCGTCGATTTTTATCTACATTTTTTACAATTCGTGCAAAACTCGATTCTCTCCGGCTCGATTTGAAAAATAGAAACACGGATCGATACCTGTAATAAAGAAAAATAACAGGAGGAGGAGGAGAGAAAAAAAAAAAAACGGCTGGAAAATTTTCATTCCATTTTCCTCGCCACTATCTTCGACTTACACTCACTGTTCTCGTTCGTGGAAAGGAGAAACGTAAAACGTCGATTTTCGCTGACTCGATCGAATAGCGAATCGGAATAGGAACTCGTCCAAATCGGGATCTTATTTTCGGGCACACCTGCGCGAGGCCTGTTCCATTGACCTTAAAAAGGTATCGCGATCGAAGGTGGCGTGGGTGGAAAAAGCAAAACCTAAACGCGACCCACGCCGCGGATCGTGTCGCCATACCTGAAACCCAAATGGGATGTTCCCAATATGGGAACAAAAAGTGTCACGCGATCTGATCTTAATTCGCGATAGCCCGCCACGATCCTGCCTCTCTCTCGCCTTTTTTCAACCGGAGTTACCTTTGTCCCGCGTTGAACAATTGGCAACGCGAACTGATATTTAGCGCAAAAAAAATGCACGATTTCGATAAGAACTCGTATACGAGATGACAGCAATTTGGATGTATTTATCGTCGTTTGAAAATTTCTTGGCGAAATTGTTTGGAACGATGTATCGGAGCGTTTCGAGATTAGGTTTCTGAAATTTGCGGAGAAAGGAGAAGAAACTCGGATTAATCGCGGGGATTCCTCGGAAATCGACGTTTAACGGGCCAACTTTACCCAACGGGATCGTCATTTCCTCGAATATTTCCGTGCGCGTAATCGGACTAGACGTCGAGCCAGTGGGGCTCGATTCGTTCCACTTTAAAACGGAGAATCCGCGAAAGCGGGGAGTGGAAAGAAAACAAGGGAAAAAAGAGTTGGAAAAAAAGGAGTGGAGGGAAGAAAATAGGATAAAACGAGGAGGAGAGAAATAACACGCTCGAATCGCGACGTAACCAACGAAACGGGGATTTAAAATCCCGCGAGCGATTTGCGAGCTTGTCCGCCGCGATTTTCTCCGTGTAAAACGGAGCACGCGCTTCGTTCGCGCCATGGGAAAAAGAAGAAAGAAAGAAAGAAAGAAAGAACAACCCTCCTCGTTGTTGGCTTTACCTCCTTGAACGTGTAAATTGTTTTCCAAGAGGAAAACTCGACCGCTTGAGAATCTTTCGAGGGAGAATGAAATTCCTTTTTTGTTTTCTTTTTTCTTTCTTCAATGGCTTTTCGCCGAACATCACGATGCGATAATTCTTTGATAATAATCCTGGTTCGGTTACATCGTAAGTCCATAGCTCGTAGCAGTCCATAGATACCGATGGATTAATCGGTTTAATCAAGTAAGACGAGTAGCCCGGATAATCGGCCTAGGGGAAATTACGAGTACGAGTGTTTTGTACACGGAATAAGCCGTTTACGCGACGGAAGATGGATTCCACCGTGTTGCACCGTGATTATATACATATTTTTTTCCTTCTCTGCAACAGTTTCGCGTTTAAATACGAAGAGAGAAAAGTAAAAATCGTCTCTCGATCTTTTCGATTTTTATCTTTTCGTTTTCGTGATTGAAATTCTTTCTTTCTTCCTTTTTCTTTAGACGCGCGTGGAATCGAGCATCCTTATCTCTTTCTCTGGAAGTAGATAGTCGAGACGATTCGAGATGAATGGTAAATCGATCTGTATCCGAACGTTGGACGAGAGTAACATTGGAGAATTATTTAAACGAAAAATATTTGGACGAGCGCGATTGTTTTTCACTTTTGCATCGGAAAACAGCAATTCGCTGTATATAATGTATATAATGTAGTCGTAAAATTTTTCGGAGAAACGATTTTCTAATTTTTGCAACGTCGATTACAGAGTAATATCTTACGAACGAGTCATCGAGAATCGACCCTGCTTTTCAAACTGTGCCTAATATTTTTTTAATCAGATCCAACACATCTCGAACGAAGTTGGGTTAATTTCAAGAGAAAATATTGACGGCAAATATTGAAGTTATCGGTATACGCATAAACGGTGAAACATTTGCATCGCAGGCGGCCGACTTTTTCGAGGATAATTATTTCGAATGTAATATTTTCGAAGAATCGAGAGAAAAAGAGTTACGGGTAAAATTCCGCGATAAAAAGTGTTTCAAATAAATGATAACCTATGAATCGTAACGATGACTATTTGTCGGGAAAAAGTGCATCGAGGTACTCTCTTTCCGTGTCGCGAAAGGACACTCGACGAAGAAACAGTTGGAGCGCGACCCTCGTCTCGAGGCCACGAAATTAGTTACGCTCACGAATTATCGTGGAGGGTGATCGATAAGAGCGGGAAACCGTCCCTAATTAGCCGAGACGCGTGTTTCGACCCGTGAACGTAATTTCTCTGCGTTGTACCGCGAGCGCGACGGTAATTTAAGACGTGACGCGGCTAATTGGTCAATATTTGATTTTGAATTTCCCTAGGAAATTGGAGGCTAATTCGAATCGAGTTAAGATTTATTTCGATTATTTTCGTCATTGGAACGAACGAGAGTTGGGTGGAAAGGAATGGATAAAGGACGATCGTCGGATGAAACGCGATCCGAAATGAAAGGACGGAATTAATGGAGAAGGAAGCTATTCGGGATTCTTATTATCTCGACTCGTACGTCGTCCGCGACGTTATTAACAGCTGGTGCGATTCTAGGTCCGTGGAACGGGCAACTTTCCAACGTGCCGCCTCTTAAAAACGGACACTTAAATCCTGCAACGTGCCACCGATAAAACCCCGTTCCGTTTAATTGCACGCGCATTCGTTATACCGTTTATTACAACCGCGCCGCTTAACCCACCTTGTCACTCTTTGCGTCCCACCGCCCAACACCGATCCCTCTTCCTTCAAGCTGGGGTAGATCTGAAACACGAAACATGGATCGTTGAAAGAAATTTCCCCGTCTAAAATCAAGGATGGCGAAATCTTGCCAAATAATATACGTATATACGTATATATAGAGAGAGAGAGAGCTCGAAAAATGTGTCTCTCCGATTCCTGTGTACACATAAACGTATTTCGAACGAGGAGAAGGAGCTCGTGTAATTTTCTTCCGTGTCGTTGCGTTTAAAATATTCCCCGCTTACATCAGCTTCTTCTCCTTTCCCATTTGATTGTAACGCTGATCCGTATGCGCCTCTATGTACTCGATCGCCTGTTTAAATCCTCCGTAGACGAGTCATTAACGAGACGAATGGTCGATCTGGAATCGATCGAGCTAATTGTTTCGTTCTTCTATCCCCTTCTAATTGTAGAATTGGATTATCTTTGAATATCCTCGTTCGATATCATTTTTCCACCAGGATTATTAGATTTCTCGAATAATTCATTTCGTTCACGGAGGAGATACACGAAGGAGCGATTCGGATCGTTAACCTTATTCGGTTAATAGAGAGAGAGAGAGAGAGAGGGGATAATAAAATATAATATTATATAATGTTTCGAAGGGAGAAGAAGGGAGAAGGAGAGAAACGGGACGAAATGAGAATCGGCGGCGCGGTGAATTTCGCGACAGGTTATACGGGGAGGAGGGGAGTGGTTTAAAATTGAAATGATCCGTGTCCGTCAATGCCACCTGTAAGTCGAATTTAATTTGGCCCCCGAGGCGGAACAAGCGTCGCTTGGAGATTTAATTTTTCCACGTTTGTTGGGGAGAGGAGGAGGACGCACGCGTGAAGGAATCAATTTTTGCGGGACAATGGCCGGAATTATATTCATACCGTGGCGTATTCCCCGCCGGGCTGAATATTTCAAAGTCTCGCGCCATCGGCAATAACCGTATCTTTCACGCAACGTCGACGCTGAACTATCGAGCTGCTTTCCGTTTTTATGGGCCGCGATCGACTCTTTACGATCAACTTGCCCCGCGCAAAATCGAGCCGAATTACATTCGTGGAACGAAGAGGGGAAGGGAGGAGGAATCGTTGTTATTAACACTCCACCCAATCGAATTTATATTCGATTCGATTCCATCGAATCTTCTCTATCTCTGATAACGCTTTTCCCCTCTTCTACCGTAAAATATATTATAAATAAATTCCGATGTTGTTTATCGCCGAGCATCGAAATCGCAAAGAAGTTGTTCTCGAAAGAGGAGGGAAAATTCAAAGGCGAAGTACTTTTTTATTCCAGCGTGAAAAAATATATATAGATATACAGTCTGCCGAGCGTGTCTCCTCGATTGCCTTCTCCGAGCCGTTTGAAACCGGAAGGCTCGTCTCGCAGCCGTGTGCACCGGATGACGAGATAGAATGAAGTTGCGTTCGATCGCTCCTCGGTCGAGGCGATTGTGCAATCGCTGTGGCACACGCAACCGAGTCGCACAACCGGGTTGCGTGATTCTCCTTTGTGTGTTGGGCGAACGATTCGTTCGCAGGTGTCGATCGTTTAAAAATATTTCTTCGATTTCCACTTTCCGCCAAAGAGCGGATAAAAGACAATCGCATAGTCGAAAGTATATCATGGAAAAGGGGGAAAAGTTTGGAGAAATATATTTTTTTTTTTACCCGTGCGCATAATTGCCATCATTTATGCGAATTCCTCCAGGAATTTCTACACGTGTCGTTTCACGGTTTACATTGCAAATTCGTCTCGGAGAAGTTGTTTCGGCCCGACACGTTCGGCCCGATGCAAAAGTTGTTTCCGCTGATTAAATTACCGCGTCAGTTGTCTCCAGGATCGGGCGCGTTTGTTTCGTTCTCCTCTCTGCAGAGAGATCGCTCGATGCACAATTATAACGTGAAAAAAAAAATAAATAAGTGAATTTGTTTCCAACACACGCGTGTTAATGAGTTCTATCTCTATTCTTGAAATCTCTATTTCTTGAAATCGTAGAAATACGGAAATCTAAATGAATTATTGTGAAATGTTGCAAAATGCATCTCTACATCGTAAATTAAATTACCGGTTTAATTAAAAGTATATATTAATTAAATCGCTATGTAATTCCAATTTGATATAAATTTTATAATTTTTAATCAATGACTGTTAATTAACTGTCGGATAAAACAACTCGGAAGAAGATTTCGAATAATTTTCTTTTTTTCTAACAGAAATAGAAACGTAACAAGGGTGACGTGATCTCGATGTAATAAAAGATATCGCCGCCAAAGTGGAAAGATGATAAAATTGATGAAAAAAGAAAAAGAAGAAAAAAAGATTCGGGATGAACGTTGGATGCGATCGATAGGATCGATGGGAAAGGATTATTTCTCGGAGACGTGGCATTGTCACGGACAACGTCGTAGCTGGAATTCCAACACGAGCGATATTCCACGTTTCGCTTTAGTTACCGCTTCGGTTATACGCGTTTCCAGTGGGAACTGGCTGGATACTTTAAGGCTCGAACAACTACTACTACACGACGCTCAAACGTTCAAAAGCGATAAGTCGTTCGCCCGTAAAACTTTATTATTTATAGAGAACCGTGAAGAAATTGTAAAACAGCTACCTTGGGGATCGTAAAATCGTTGAATGATATCGAACGATTGTCCTATTCTTTGATCTTATCTTTTTACGATTAGCGTCGTTAATTTCGATCGAATAATTATTCGTCATTAATCATCGATAATTAGAATTTCTAGAAAACGTTTTATCCAATCGTTATCCTATTATTCTCGAAAGAGAAATTGATTTTTCCTTTTTATCACGAATAAATTCGGTGTACTGAATTTCAAACAATAAGATAAGTTTCCTCGAATAGAAACGATGCGTCGTGAATCGTGTCTGAAATTTATCTCGTTTCCTTCGCTTCGAGCCATAACGTTCAAAGTCGCATACTTGCTTGCTTGCTTGCTTACTTACTTACTTACTTACTTGTCGTAAATAGAGAACGTAAGTAACATTGCGACGTGTTGTCGCAGGTTGAAAAGCAATTTTATTATTAAGCCAACACGAGAATACTATTACCTTGCTGCCTGTATAAACCTTGCTTTACGTAATCTTTTCTCGATGAAAGAATCGACTTACCTATCGACCCGAATTTAACTCGATTTAACGCTCGATAAATTCGATATCTAACGATTTGGGGGGAGGAGGGATATTTTTAAAGATTCCCGTAAAGACTCGCGATGATTTCGAGAAAAATGAAATCGCGTAACAATTTTCTCCAAAGGACGAAGTTAAGATCAACGTTGTCGCTACAATTTTTGTCTCCCCATTCGATTCGAGATTATTTTTTCATACACTTCCGTGCGATGCGCATCGATGCAATCTCGCTATTAGGTGCACAAACTTGTCGTTGAGCTAGTCTAACACAATCGTAAGTTACGACCGTATCGGATCGAAGTTATCGTTAAACCAACCATCGACTTTGGTAGGAAGAAAATTGTTTCGAAGAAATATACAAATGTTCGTTGCATGAATATAAATCGAAGATAGCTTCGTGCTCGCATTCTTAAAATTTAAAAAACCGACGAAGATCGGTTTCGGTTCAAGTTCAATGATCTGTGTGTGCAACAAAGGCAACATCTGTCATTTTGTACAGATTTATGCAATAAAAGAATGCATCGAGTAAATATCAATTTCGACGTTTCCGTTCCGGTCAAAGCGCATCAAAAGATGATATTCCAATGTAATATATAGTATATCTTTTCTTTTTTATTTTTCTAAGTAAAATCGTAAAATAGAGAATTCTAAAAGAGATCCGAGTAAATATTTCAATTATGAAAATTGAGTGTCTGTTTACATTGTGTATGATAGACTAAAAAAATGGAATTCTTTTAGAAAAGAAGGAAGAGAGATCGTAGAAAGTTGATGGAAATGGAATTTCGGAATCGATAAAGATTTGCTACGTCACAATTAATATTAAACTTGTTGGAATGATTGGTTATGGACGTGAAAATGAGAGTAAATCACGCTCTCTCGATTACGAAATATCACACGATGTTCTAGGCGTCTAGATCGCGTCTAGTATCTCGCTTTGAAAGGAAATACTCTCAATACCGCGTATATATACTTGATATCGCAGGAGAAAAAAAAAAATTTTCAACGCGCTCGTTGAAAAGCGCTTGGGGTATAAATACATAGACGTCGTATTTACAGTCGAATCTGCATCAAAAAGGTACTACACGGTCGCGAAAAGAAGGCGGTGTTCCCAGAATAAGCTCGAGAAATCGAATCTTTCTCTTTGAAAATTTTAATAAGAACGAGACGGTACATGGATTTGACAGGCACATTATATTAATTATATTTACATTTGAAACATTAACAATATTGCTGGTATAATTCCATAGGTAACGTGGTTCCATAGGTGACCGGACGTGGAACGTTAAGCAATGATATTTACGATCCCAATTAACACCGCGTTATCGATGTTGTACTAATGAGCTGAACGAGGTCGAATCTCGATAGATCTGTCGGGCGCAATGAGGACGCGATCCTCGTCAATATTATATTCCAACTGTACGCGAGTATAACAATTCACGAGAGATGATGTCATCGTGACAAATCGAACCTTTCCAAATTTTATTTTCGTCGATAAAGTCCAACTGTGTTTCTTGTTACATTTTGTAGATGTTGCGTAAAAAGATAACCACCTTGTACGCGAATTCGATAAGAATCGTCATCAACGAGATATAAAATATAATAATCGTTTAACAGTTATATATTATAAATATAAAAGGTAGAGAATATCGTATTTTTCTTATAGCGTCTATTATAATTTATCTCGTTGATCGCTGTACGAGCAGAACAGGATAAATTTTCTTGGCGTTACACGCGAGAGGAATGTTATATCGAGAGCGAACGATTTAATGAATACAAATCATCGGATCGTTCATTAACGATTGCTAATTACGTTGAAAGGCTTTGAATAACTCGGTTACGTCAACCGTAAGTAATTACGGTTAACTAGCTAGATCGTGGTAAATTAATCTCCCTTTCCTCGTTGGGCTTTCAATTTTTATTTTTATTTTTTTCAATTTTATACGAGATGTAGAAATTTTGATTCGTATTCGTTTCCTTCCGAGGTTTCCTCTCGTAAATTCTAATTTACATGTCAAAGAAGAATTCGTGAACGGAATACTCGAAACAAGAGGTTGAATCCTTGGAAAGGACGGATGACGAGTCGCGAATAACAAATTCAAAAATCATTTCGATGAGAGATGACGAAACAAATTTTCAGAAATCTAAAATATACCCTCGATCGTAACAATTGTAATAATTATCTCGAGAATCCAATCCAAATGAATTTATTCTCTTGGAAAAATTTGAAAATCAAGCGAGAGGCAAAGTCGGAAAAGTGGAACGCGAGGAGATATTTCGACTTGCCGTTTCTCCTTTAAACGAAGTGTTCGCGCAACGTTTTGAAACGTGACACGTCGTTTGGATAAGGTGGGAACGATAACGCGTTGACGCACCTCGAAGCGATCGACCGGCAATCTCGCACGATGTGTACGTAACGGAGAATCGTGAAAACTGTTCAATTCCATTGGAATTGTGCTTTTATTTTTTTCAACGGTCGCGGATAATTGTTAATTTTTCGGAAGCAATCGATTGGAAAGATTTAAACGTTTGGAACGTTGCGAAAGGAATATTATCGGGCGAAAAAGATTGCTTCGTTTTTAAATTTTGAATCGTGACCGGAAGTTTTGTCAAGGACGTGATCGAACGAAGAGAGAAATATCGGCGAACGTTACCGTTTTAATTTTCTTACCGAGCGCGTAATTAACATTTAACGCGATTTAATATTTTTCCACTCCTGCGTGCAACATCTGTTGAGCAGCGTTAAGTGCGAATTACATAAGAATGAGTAATGACTGCAATAGGCCGTGGCGCGTCGAAAACAGTCGTTGAAACGATAGTCGCTAAAAATACTCGTTTATTGAATCGATTTGTCGTTAAGACGAGAACTATCCGTCGAACGATTACGTACGATTACGAAGGAAATCTTTGGATTTCATGGATGTTTTCGTTTAATTCGATGATCTTTTTTTTTTCTTTTTTTTTTTTTTTTTTTTTTTTTTTTTTTATATGGTTATACAATAACGTAATTACGCAGTTTGTTTTTTTCATCATCCTACGATCGAAGTCGTTCGAAGTCGTTCGAAGTAAATACAATTAACGCGTGAATATAAATGTAAATATAATTATCCACTTATCGTTCTATTATTTTTTTACTTATATTATGAGCGATCTTACCGATTTAATGAATATTTAAAATATCGGTTGAAATTAAAAAAAAGGAAAAAAAAGGATTTTTAACGCAAAATCTTATCGCGAAAGATATACGAGAGCGGAAGATGTAGGAGATATTTATTGGAAAATATTTTCTTTAAAGATAGAAAGAGATTAGGAGAAAAGTTGGGGCGTAATGTAAAATGATCGAGTATCGCGATACTTATCCGAGCGAACCACATAATCTTAGTAAAAAGTAATTAAGTACTCGACTAACAAGTACCTAGTACGCGTTAAATTATCATTTCAAATAAAAAAGGAAAAATTGCACGACATCCAGCGCGAAATCCCCGACCATAAAAAATAATCAAATTCATAACAGCTCGACGTAAAACAGGATTTCGTCCGTTTCCTCCGCCGAGAACGTTTGTTAGAGATAATTAATCTCGAAGGTGCACCGCGAGAAGGCGGGAAATTCGTCGAGAGAGTGGATGACGCGAGTAGAAACTTTGCTCGCAGTCAGAAGGAAAAAAAAAAAAAAAAAGAAAAAATTGGCCAATAAACATGCGCCGGCCTCGATTTTTCCTTCTTGGTCGTCGGATGTTGCGCAACCGTAAATCCTTGACGCGAGCAGCGTTTTTTCATCTACCACACCGAACTTGCCGTTCTGCATCTAATCGGTCCTGCGCGCAGACAATGAATCATCTACCTATCGATCATCATCTGTTGTTTCTTTTTTTCTTTTTTTCTTTTTTTCTTTTCGTCCAGTTTGTGCCAGTTTCGAGAAAATATTAAACTCGTGTTTCGACGGATCGAAGCCTCGCTTCTACGAACGAATCGGATTATCGGAAATATCATGGATGGTAATCGCGAAATTTTTCTAATTAATTTTTCTAATTGAATCTCACTTGTGAAATTGTTTTAGGATGGATTTTGAAAGTGTCACGTACCACGAAATATACGTATGAATATATGTGTATTAAACATTCTATTTATATTCACGACTGGTCAAAGTGTTTTATGGTCGCTCGTGAAGATAAAGACAATGGGAGAAAGGATGTTTTGTTAAGAAAATGTAGATAAATTGTAAATAAAGATATCCTTTTCCAACTCGTATTCGAAGAGAAAGAAACGTGTACTCTCTGTCTGGAAGGAGCGGGAAAAAAAAGTGCGATAAGAGAAAAAATCGGAAATCGAAGAAATGAGTTTTGAGAGAAAACATTTTGTGAAATTGTTACATTCATATCTGATGTAGAAAATTGGGACGATCGTGGGCCGTTTGGAGGTAAGACAAAGGTGGAAAAAAATATCAGGGAAACAATAGCAGTATGGTAACGGGAGTTTAACGTTTTGCGAGGGGAAAGTAATTACCAAGTATCGCGACGTGGTGGTAACCCGTGGCGTGCATTACACGGGCTTTAAGCGATGAGATAACCTGCCTTTCGCGATTAAAAGGTGCATTGTATTCCTCGTTGTTTGCATTTTCTTTCGTTCGACGAAAATGAGTTTTTCTTTTTTTTCTCGGTCGAACTCGTCCAACAATTTCACCGCGAAAATTTCCATTGTTTCTCTTGCTTATCCAATCGAGTAAAAAAAAATAAATGAAAATACACGAGCGGGAATAAAACGAGCAGATTCCGTACAAAATTTATTATATAAATAAAGAAGCGGGGAGAAAATGTAGGCGAAGGAAAGGAGAATTTGAAGGAATATTAAAAATCGTTTTCGATCGGCGACGAGGAAACGAAGAGAAAAGACCAAAGTATTGTCACTAATCGTGATACGGTGCGTATACGTAGGATGGACAAAAAAGAAATCGCGAATGGAACGCGATTGAATCGGAACGAGTCGCGCGTGAAACACCCACTGGACTGTGTAAAACGCGGATTGTGTTTTACGTAACCAACGAGAGTGAGAAAAAGAGTCGTTTCGTCCCCGTTATTGAAAAAAAAAAAAAGGAAAATAACCAAACGATCATCGCATGCGAAAGAAAAAAAGAAAAAAAAGACGAGTTTTATAATCCTTAAAGTCGATGATGATAATAATCGAAACGATACACGCGATAATTATCGATCGATCGACCGATTGTCGACGACGATAATGAATCGATTCGTTATTTCCGCTATTGAACGCTTAATTGGCTGTAGAAAACTACTGGTCGAATATATAAAACATATACGGATCTTGGAAGATAGAGACGAATCGAAAACGATATTTCTTCCGCTGTATAACGGATAGATTGTACACTTTTGAAAAAACGTGGAAACGAGACGATAGACTCGTTGGACTGGTAGGAAAAACGGCTCGTACGTAGTTTTTGCGAGTGTGTATACGGTGGAACGAGGAGGGAGGGAGGATCACTCGGTTAATTAGCAATTACACACGTATCTGCGTGTCTGGGATTCGAAATTAGAGCGGCGTGGCGCGACGCGGCGTTTCCGAGTCCGATGCACCATGATAAATCCATGTCACGCGTGCACGCGCAACCGTGGCCGACGTGCGCGCGCGATATAATCAGTTATTTAAATTGCCAATACCGTCAAGTATCGACGTAACAAACTAGTTTTGGAGGAAGCTCCGTTCCACGTCCGTTACCGGACGATAAAGTGATTAAACGCAATAGGGAGTTGAGAGGTGGATGAAGCGCGATCTACTTGCTCAAGTTTGACCGTCCGATCAAATTTTCATGGGTCTTTTAAAGTAATATATCGGCGTAACTTGTTCCATCTCGGGAGGAAATCAAATTCGATTTGTGCTTCGATACATTTCGATCGTTATCGAAACATCATTCGTACAAGAATTTTTTACTCGGCTAGTGAAAGCGCTTTAAAGCGAACGTTCAAATCGTTTAAAGTTGATATTAAGAAGAGAATTTTTATACGAACTAACGACATTAAATGTAATAACACTGACTTTGAAAAAATATAATTCGAAAGATTGGAATGATAAGGCGTTATCAGAAAATCTTACTCGAAGGAGGAATTGCGTTTTCTATTTATTTTCAGCTTAATTTGAAATATTTCGTGGTATTATCTATTTTATCGTGTTCGGTAAAATATTTCAGAACGAGAAACGCAGAAATAGTGGGAATAACTCGTACCTATATATTTTTCGCGTCACTCGAATTTCCTCTCTTCATTAATCATTTTCTTTTCGAGCGAATTAGCGTATCATAGTCAAACAGTTGTACCAAATTCACGTAGTTAACAACGTAATTTAACGTAACAACTCGTTAAAATATTTTTCTTGTTTTTACGTCTCTCGTTCGACCAGGAAAGTAGGTCGCGCATGTTACGATGCGCCCTGTATTCCCTGTAGGAACTGATATTTTTCGCTTGATTCTATCTTCCTGTTTCCATTTTTTTTTTTTTTTAACCGGTATATTTTCATTCAATTAAATCACTCATCGATACATCATCCGTTTCAGCGTATAAATAAACGTAGCAAGAAGGATGGATGTAAAGGATGGAATATTTATCGACATACCCGATGCGCGCAACGTACGAAGACTCGATCCAGAGGAGACTTGGAGTCCTGTGCCTTCGAGGTCTTCTCCTTGCACCAAGCTTGTCCCATTTTTCTTTCTGTCCGGCTATTATCTCGACCGTTTCTCCCGCCACGTGGTGGTCTTCTCTTCTTCTTCCTCTCCTTCTCCCTGTTTCTTTCTCTCACCGATAAGGCTGGATAATGTAGGCCATCTTAAGACCCGTTCCTCGTGACCTGCCGCAACCAACACGCTTCTCTCGCCTCTCTTTTTGCCAGCGCGCGAGTAAGCCGATGTAACGAGGCGTCGTTCGTCGCTGAAAAATTTCACAAATCCATCATTTTTCGCCCGACATTTCCTTGGATCGATATACCATACGAAGAGAGATTGTTAAAACTCTAATTTTTTCCCTTATCCTTGTTTTGAAGGATAATTGTTTCCCTCCTTGTTCGATTTCTCGGAATTTTGAACGAAAAGAAGAATAATTCCTACAACGATGTATCGATGTATCGAAGGCTAATGACTCGAACCAATTACGCGTGTTATAGTCCATCCAAAATCGATTGACCTCAAGGTCACCGCCCTATCCAAGAATCAGCTCACGACTAATCTCTAAGCCTGGAAGCTTAACTCGGACAATACTGATCTATGGTATTTGAGCGGTAATGTATGGATCCCCGTGATATCGCGGAGAACACGATTTACTGCTTTGAGAGGTTTGGAGAACACGTGCGAGGATACGATGCTTTTCGTCTTAATGGATTACTCCGAGTGGAGAATTATTTTCTTCTTCGTGTTCTCGAGAAAGAGAGAGAAACTTACGCTTATCGTCGGATCTTGGAATGGAAATTAAAACTTGGACTATTCGTCGTGGATTCTTTTCTTACTCGAGAAGAATTCCTCAACGATTCCTCCGATCTAATCAATCGTTTAAAATTTTCCATCGCGAAAATATGCGAACAACGTGGAACGCGTCTGGATTTAAATATAATACACTATAATACACTATATGTAACACACGTGCACACACCCAGGTATTGGAACGAGACGCGCGCGTTCGATCTTTTCTCGGACGAGTGACCTTCTATCCACAATGATCGTCCGAAGAATGTTAGAACACACCTTTTAACGGTACATCGGCAAGTCCAGCCTATGTCGTCACTGCACCAATCTCTCCTTGTTTCAACAATTTTCCAGCGTCACAGTTTTATATCCGAAACGTGGTGAGATTTCGGATTCGGTAGAATGAAAAATGAGGAAAGAACGGGCGTGAAATGGCGACTGTTTAAACGATCGACCGGTAATGTAAATCATCCGTGCCTGTTGTGGAAAGTGGCAGCAACGACGTGAACACTCGACGAATCGCGGGCAACGAATACGCGAATTCATAATGCTGCTACGCGATTCCCAGTCATTCCCCTCTGCGTTGTAATGGAAAACAGTCCGGCCTCTGCATTCACGTCCATTTAAGCTAATTCTCTTTGCGTTACGATGCTGTATATCTAGATCACGAGCTACTTTGTACGTGTAAACTTCTCGTTAAACCTTCGTAAAAGGATTTTTATTCACGAGGGAACGTTCATTGGAATTTCTTATTTCGATGAGAGTAATATAATATAATTGTACGGACACGGCGTTATCTCTTCAAGTTTTCCACGTCGTGTTTTTTTGGAAATTTTATCGAAATTGACGATAAAAAGCGATTGTTTCTCGATTCGTTATTTTCCGCGTAAGGTATTCCGCCGTATTATACGTATATGAAAACTTTCACCGGTCGAGGAATTCGAAAATCCTGATGGAGGATCGCATCGATCACTCGACTACGAATCTTTCTCGATTTCTCGCGACGATCGATTATTAAGATCGTAACGCAAGAAGATTATTACACGTACGATACGAAAGTTAGAAAGGAAAATGGAATCGGTTTTGCGTAGCAACGTCCTCCTCGCCATGAATGGACGGGCAAATGGGAACAGGCGCGCGCGTGGAACAACACCTACGACAACGCGGTGTGGTCGCGTCACCGCCTGTTCTCGAGAATCGGTGAATAAGCGTGCGATCGTGTGCAACGTATAATCGCATTATTATATACGCGACTCTTGTTTCTTGCTTTTTCACTGTTCTCCGCTCGTTATTTATCAATGTCATCGGATCCTCACGTTTCGTCGGTCATCGTTTAACGCGTCGTTAACGTATAGTGTCATCTAATAATATACGATTATCGATGCTCTATTAACTCTTTATATACGTCGCGTAATTTCAAATTGGCAAGGCGGACAGTCGGCTCTTTTAAAACTTGTCGTTTCGCTCGTTATTTTTCCATTATATTATAGCATATAATAGCTATATATATATATACATATATATATACGAACCACATAAGAGAGAAAGTGTGGACGAATCGCGTGACGCGTAGCTCGACATTCGAGTATTCCGTGAAATTGGAAACGTTTAACTGCGCGTTGCGTTATCCTACGTCGTGTTCCAGTTTTTCTTCAAAGTGGACGTTATCGCGAAGACCAACTGTCGAAGCAACGTTCCGGACAGCGAATAGAGAGTTGAACGTTGCGCCATCTTGGCTTTAACTCGGCGAGGGACCATGCAAATCGGTCGGAATCGTATACCTTCGTACATACGTCAAAAATTTTCGATTTCGCCGTAATCGTAAAATCCGGAATCGAATTAAAATTCTAATCTTTATTTAACGTTTTTTAACGCGATTCTCTAAACGAGAATATAAAGCATATTTTAGTAGCTAGTTTAAATTTATGCACGTTCCGCAAAATAGGAGTTTACGGTCGGGTATTTAACATGGAGATAATTTAGAAATATTGCAAGGAAACTACGCATTGTTGAAATGCAAAAGAGTCGAAGGTACGTTTAATTACGAAATATCGCGCAATTTCCCTTAAACGTACGAATTTTACGTGGAGAGATCGCGCTCCTCTTCGCCGTCCCCGTACTTTCTTAACCTTTATCGGAAATCACGTTTCGACTTTACGGTTATGCAAAAGTTGATAGCCTCTTCCTTGTCTCTTAAACCACCTTGTAGTGTGCATATATGTACGTGTGTACACCGGCACGAAGCGAAAAGACACGAAGAGAGTAAACGTAAATTAAACACACGCGAACGAGGCGAATTATCGGAAGGTTTCACCGCGGTTGTGGTGTGCGCGGCACGCGTGGGTGCATTTGCGATTACACGAGAATCGCGATAAACGAGAAAGGAGGAAAGAAGGGACGCCGCGCGACTCGTAACTTTCTAACTTGGTCCGAATCGTGAATCGAGAGTTTACACCTGTGCCTCGGGGACAATGGAAAAGAAGGAACCGAGCGGTATTTTTGATACCTAAGCGACCAGTGTGTTACGCAATAATCGTGACTCGTAGCGGGACGCGTCGAGCCGTGATCTCGTCATCGTTCCGCGAAAAGGTCGTAAAAATTTTATGGAAAATATGCTCAAAATACCGAAATGCTCGGAATGGAAACGAGGTTACTTGAACTTTGCCGTGTGCAATTACGGATTAACAGCGGAATGAAAAATTATCCTCCGAAAAATGCGAATGTAATTCGAACCAACTTGAGTTGAGACTTTGATTGACACGTAATTGAAGAATTTTGCGAAACTATATTGAAGATGATGCGCATTACGGAAGAAACTAAAAATAACATAGTCAAAGTGGAGATCCAAGTCGTAACGAGATTACGTACGCGCGTGTGTATCAGGTTTTAGAATTCGTATCGATGGAATATTTGTTCAAACGCCTTGACACGCCTAGAGTTTCGACCATTATAATACGCGCGATACGGTATATGGAATGGAGAGAAACGAAGTTTTACAGCCATCGGACAATTCGAAACGGAATGCGAGCCACGCCTTTTTGTAAAAAATATTTTGTCACGGATAAACGGGAAACGAGTGATAAACGAGTTTCAAAAATTCGAACGAACGCGTGTAAATTCAAAATAACTATTTTTACTATCCTCTTCTACTACTCTGATAAATGCCGTCCGTTCGAAAAGGCCTCCAATTCTCGGATTCTCAAATTCAATACTATATAATCCATAAGTAGAAATATTAACCGTGCCAGGAAAAATCCATAAATCGAATCTTAATAAACTCAAGCCAACAATATCTTTTTCCATCCGATCGTAAATATTATTGGTAATAAATGGTAGGAAGGTACGACTTAAATGTCGTATCGTATCCCATAACTATAAATCGTACATCCTGAAAAGGTTGAAGTGTAGTACACAACATTACCATACCTGGATTCGAACGTTACCGTGATATCCGTAGCGATAAATACGATAAAATTTCGGAAAACGGTCGTTGGAAACAGAAGAGAACGTTGGCTGGCCGCAACAGCCTGCTCCCTCGTGAATTCAAGTTCACGAAGCGAGAGCAGAGATAAAGTGTCGAACGAACCTGACACCGGGACACTCGGTCAATCCGAACGGAATTCGATCACGGACAAGCTTGGAAAGTTGCGCGCAAACTTGTCTCAACGTTTCCAGAGTTGAGATGGCTCTCGTACGAGCGCACGTACCTCTCTCTCTCTCTCTTCCTCGTGCGGGTGGAGAAGCTGGCAATTTCACTCGGTAAATGTGGAAATTCCTTTGCTCCGACGAAACGACGCTTCGGCTCTCGGTCGATCGTATTCTTTGGAACGTATCGATCGAATCATGGGATCGGCGAGACGATGGCGATGTTCAGACGAGAGAAACGCGCGCGCGCGCAGCTGGGTGGCTGGCTGCAGGGCAACTGGTACCGTACTGGTACCAGTCGGTCAGACGTACGGCACCGTGAGTACGCGGACGCGATGCACGATGCCGGACAGGTTGTGTGTATCGTTGGGCGTAGATGGTCAGGTGGTATGCGGCCATAGCGAGCTGCGCCGCGACACTGTGGACCCGGCTTTAAACCTTTCTAACCGCAGCCTCCGCTCTATACCGCATCGCACGATCGTCGTATCCTCGTCGCCGTTGAAGAAATCTCCACGCTCGCCCACCTCCACTATTCTTCTCCTTTTCGCTATCCTCTCCTTTCCTCGTGTCCCCTTCTCCTCCTACGGAAAAGGATCCGATGGAAGGGGCTGAATTAATGGTTAGCAGGAATCCGACTCAGGTGTGCCCGAGTTTCTTCTCTCTCTCTCTGTCTTCTCCTTCGGGGAGAGAGACCTTTTGTCCCGTTCCCCCGATACTCGTTTTTGGAATTTTCATTCTTAAGTTTACCGTAATGGAATTGATGTTTCTCTCAAGAGGAGAAATTTATTTTAAACTGTTTTTTTAAAATTGCCCGATTGTGTCGTATCGTACTTAAAAGATGACGTGTTTTCAGCTGTTGCGAGAGAGAAAAGAAAATAATTAATCAAATTAGAAATTACGTCTGACTACGGTTTACGTTGTGGGAAAATTAATTGGGAAACGAACACGAGTGTAATTTCTCACGTATCCCAAAAATAAACGCTGCGATTAAATGCGCATGGAAGAAGGAGCATGGTGAAAGAAGCATTTCAGAAATGCACGTTCGCATTAGCAGCGCTCCATCTTCGTAATTATCTCGTCCGCTTGAAGAAGGTCCCGCACACAGATGCACGGCCCGTGACGCTTAAGGGCAATTAACGCGACGTTAGCGGCCCCTCTTAAGTGCCGTGGAATCGGTTTCGACTCAGGTATATTCGTAGGGTCTGTTAATCGCCCGAAACATCGTCGACCTATCCGAAAAGGTGTGTTGCGGTGGTTGGTCGAGAAAATGGAATCCCTCAGCGTGGTATTTTCCATCCAACGTTTCGGCTGCTTTTCCGCCTATAAATAGCCACACCCCGGTCGAGAGACCAGTCCGTCAACTCGACCGAGTCGATCAGTTTGTTCGTACCTTCGAAATTATCCGATTCGAATAAAAAATCTTGTTCTCGAGAATTATTCTCGTCGTTGGAGACGATGTTCCTCGCGATGAAGATTCTTTCGTCCTTGTTGGCAGTGGGAATATTTTGGAACGTTGACGCGGTGGATCTGCATCGATTTTTCTGGCCTGGATATCAACACCATAAGCCGCAGGAGGAGATACGCGTGATAGAGATCGTTCGATGGCACCAACCGATTTGCGTGAAACCGGGAAAGGGAGTATCGTCGTGTTTGGACGGTCTGAGCAAGCCGGGGCAACACGCGAAAGGCTTGAACGAAGAAAAAGAGGAATTTTCGATATTGAGCGAGTCCAGGTCGAGCGTTCCGTCGAACGAGGAGGAAGTTTTGAGCGAATTCGTGGCTTCGGAGATGTTCGCTTCGTTCCCTCTCCAATCTTCCCTGGGTACGGATCTCTCGACGGATGAGAGGATGTCCGAATCGGGTAAGAGGACGGAGGCGTTAACCACGGAACGAGAGAGGAGAGACGCGAGACACTTGGTTCCACATTTGGACAAAACGGCGAAACCTAAACAGATATACGTGACGAAGGTCCTGAACGCTCCGTTCACAGCCACTTTGGTCGCTCAAAATTGTCTACCCGATATCGGTATCCCATTGTGCGAGAATAACGAGAAGGACGCGGCGGTGGAAGATTCGAAATCGATGGCCGACTCGAAATACTCATCTTCCCTGAGTATCTCGGTGATTGGAAAGGACGGGGAGAGGCCGACGAATGTGAAATTCACGGGAAATTCGTTTTCCGTTAAATCCGTGGCAGGATCGGCGGAGCAAGCGGATGTTAAGAATCCCGATTCTGACCAGGCATCCACGAGTCTCATCCCGGATTATCCCGATACCACCACGCACGTTCCTGCTTCGCGGCGTATCGCGCCCTCGAACCTCCACGATAAATCCTCCTCTTCGAGCCTCGAGCGCGAACCCGGAATTTCTTCGTCTAATTTCGAGAAACGAGCCGATAACCAATTCGCACCGACGGAGTTGGTCTTGGAATCGTCGGAGGAAGTCGTAGAAGAGTCGAGTGCAACCACGAAAATGCCGGAAATTTCGCAAATACGTAACGTTCCGATCGAAAGAAACGGATCGATTGAAACGTCCATGACCGCGAATTGATCCAATTTTTTGAAAAAAAATAAGAAAAAAACGCGGAATGATACGAAAAATATCGAATAAATTTGAAAATGTAGTAGAGATTAAGCGTATATGTAATATTATAAGTTTTTATTAAACGATTTTGATTTTGATGTATGGAATTTTTTGGAAATTTTATTATTTGTATTTTACTTTTGAAATAAAAGTACGAATAAATATGTATTTTTTGAACATCTTTGAATTTTTTTCATTACAAAGAATAGGTAAGTTTATTCCAAGTGTTAACTTGGAAAATTTTATAATTTAAAAATAGATAAATAAGGATTCGTTACGTAGCACTTTTTATTCATAGTAGACGGCTTATGTTACAGAGATAGAATCGCAAAGAAGAATCACAATTTCTCGTGCATAGTTAAATTAAAAATTATATTCTATATCCTAATCCTATTCGATTAAATAAAATGTCGTCGAATCAACTTATCAACTACGCAAACTTTTATTATTATTGAACGAGATCATAGGTAACGTAGCGAAATCTTACTTACCATTCACGTTCGCGTATCGTTCTCATCTTAAAAGATGATAAAGATACACAAAGATTTATATCCATAAGTCTTCTCGACAACGCTTTGAACGCTTCTCAAAATAATTTTATAACAAGATCTTGAAAATCTATTCAATTTAATTGTTCCTACTTCCTACCAAATTTAATTTTATCAATTGCATCAACGTTCTCCATTCTAAATCTGTTGTCAAGCGTTCAAAGATTCGTGTACTATTTCTAGAATTAACCGAATAGTTGTTGGATAGTCGAGAACGATCTCGAGAAAAAAAAAAAACGCAGTCGAAAATAATTATTTAATTTTATTCGAGAAACGAAAAATATATTTTTATTCCTTCCTCCGGGAAGAAAAGTTACGTCGAAACGTGGCATCATCGAGTCGGTTCGTTCTTCCATGCTTGAACCGATATTGGGGAACGACCGAGGAAGGGGAAGGAAGGAAAAGAAGAAGAAGAAAAAAAAAATGGAGCATCGGTATTCTCGATTCTGGTAACCGGTTTTAACCCTATCTCTTTTCAATTTGACAGCTTGTCTTCGTTGACAAATTTCATTCTAAATTTCAAGCAAGATCGGGGACGAGTTAGCAGATTCCACTGCCACTGTTTACCTCGTTTGCTTCTCTACGTCGCGATAGAGTATAGCTTTTCTCGAGGAAGTGACTTTTCCCGCGATTTTCCCAGACCCTCCTACGATTCAATCTTTCGCACGAAAACGATTTTCGATGCTTTCGATCATTTTGGTTAACCAAGTAATTGATAATTGGTAATTATTCGTAATTCTAACGCATGACGCGTAACAAGAGTTTTATATACAGAGTGGACAAAGTGAATGCGAAAAAGATGTGAAATATTTTAGGCTAAATGTCAAGGACACTTCAAGTACCATATATAATAGTAACTTTTGCTACAAAAATGACACGTGTGGAAAACTGAAAATGGACGAAAGTTTCTGTTATGCTGATCAATTTACTTAAATAAATAACGAATTATATTTTACGTTTAAATAACACTTATAATTACAT